CCAGCACTGGCAGCCCACCCAACACGCTGGGAGCTGCACGTGTGCGGGGGTCTCTGCAGATGTGGAGAGCTGGCCGCACGCTCCCTGCCTGATTCAGACCTCTACCTCAGCAGGCACCCCAGGCGCTCCCATTCCTCTTGGCCTCCCAGGAACAGCCCTGTGAGCCCAACACAGGCCCTGCAAGGCCAGAGGTTGTACCCCTCCTGGGCGTGGCAGTAAGGCACCTTGTGGGACATCCTGAGGGCTCCTTCGCTTCCCACCCAGCTTCCTGCAAATACACTCGAGAAGCAAAAGGTGATGATGACCCATGGGCCTGGGCCCTCCACCCACATGGGAGACCTAGAAGAAGCTCCTGGCTTCCACTGGTTCTGTCTCAGCTATTGCAATCACTTGGGAAATGAGACAGCTGATGGAAGATCTAGCTATGTGTCTGCTTTGCAAATACAATGGAAGCAATAGAACGGAAATCAAGTCCCTTTCTCCTTCCCCTGGTCCTCCCCACTGTGGGGGGTGGCTGCCAAATTCCACGGCCTGGGGCATTCACGGAGGGCAGTGCTCTGCACGCAGCCTTGGGGACAGTCCACGGCCTGGGCGTTCACGGAGGGCAGCGCTCTGCACGCAGCCTGGGGGACGGTGCACAGGGCCCCCTCTGGGCATGCTGCGGCTGCCCACTCACCTGCTGTGTCCTTACATGGCTGCTCACTGGTCACAGGGGATTAAGGTCCTCCCCAGTGGCCTCATGGAATGTAATCCCCTTGCTAGGGCCCTTCTCCAAGGAAGACCTTGCTCTAGGAGTTAGGGGTCAGGACGTTGACTGGGACTTTGGAGCCTCCTCACACCTGGGCCCAGCTTCCTCCGGGCGCATTGGGCTGCAGTTTCCTCACCATTCTCGGGGAACGGCAGGAGCACCAACATCGGACACGCCCTGTGGATGACACCATCGCCCCAGGTTTCTCCCTCTGCCTGGCAGCCAAGCAAGGGTCATAGGGCTCTGGCCCCTGGCTGTGTCCCTGCACTTTGGTCTGCAGCTCAGTTACTCAGGGAGCGCTGTTGGGCCAGAGGTGGAGGCACCAGCTGGCCCTGGAAGGTGCAGCTGCTCCCCTCTGGCCAAGGCGCGCAGGTGTTCTCCTACCCCCAGCTCGGCCTTGGACCATCTGTGTCATCTTCACAGCCGAGAGGCCCAGCAGAGATACCAGGCTAGGGTTCAAGGAGAATCTCCCCAAGCTGGCCCTCCTCCTGTTCCCCATGTGCCCCTCCTAAGAGATAGAATCTTTGTCCACTGGCTCTTTCTCCAGATGGATGCAATAGCCATGGCTGGGTCGGGCACAGGCCAGAAGCCTGGAACTGCCCCCGGGTCTCCCACATGGGTGCAGAGGCCCAAGCACCTGGGCCGTCCTCCCCTGCTTTTCCAGGTGCATCAGCAGGGAGCTGGATGGGAAGTGGAACAGGCTATGAGCTCCTTTAATGCCCCCTTCCCATGCTGCTTGGAGCTGGACTCTATGCTGGGCCTGTGCTGGACTTGGGCAGAGCTCCAAGGGGGAGTGTGCTGCATTGGTAAGGAAGCAACCATGGCTGCCCTCCACCACCTCTGGGGCCAGTGTTCTTCAAGCTCAGAGATGACTTTCTCCAGGTGGCTGACAAGGGGGAGATCCCGGAGAGAGGAGGTGTGAGGTGAGTGGGGCAGCCATCACATTCTGTGCCAGCCCCCAGAAACGCAGTAACGTGAGGGACACAGACCCAGGTCCACAGGGAGCTCCCTGGAGGAATAGTGGAAGCACGTGTGGTCCCTCAGGGAGACAATTTCACACCAGCCACCTGGCACACATTCGGGCAACATGCCAGCACACACGCTGACCTAGTCAGGGCACCACCATGCACACACTGACCCACACAGCACTCACACCTGTGCACACTCGCTCACAAGAGAATGACTAAGCCCAAAGATTCAGGGAGGGCACCTTGGTGGTGTTGGGGTCTCCCTCGGCCGCAGGGCATGCCGGGCGAGGCTGGCTCCTTGCAGGGTTGGGTCCTGGGTCATTCAGGCTGGAGGCTCCAGCTCTGAGGCAGGCCTGCCCCTCTGTGTTCCTGTGTACTCACAAGGCACTGTAGAGAAGGGACTGGGGGACAGCCTACATGGCTCTCACTTACTTAAAAGTAACCAAGAGAAAGCAAAACAACACAAACCAAACAGACTTTCTGGAAAGCAGTTTAGCAAAATGTTGCAAAACAGACACCTGTGACTGCACGCAGTCTCTAACCCAGGAGCTTCCTCTGCCTGGTCCCCTGGAGGGCCAGGGAAGCCGCCCCAGCAGCTGCGGCCCAGCCCTGGATCCCCCGGTGCAGCCACCTGACAAGGCCGGGCGGCCCACGCAAGGTTCCTTGGGACAAGGCACTCATGGGCTGCAGAAGCCTCACTCCACTGCTGTTTTAAAATGTGCGGGAGACCAGGTGGGGAGCGTCAAAGCCCCGCCCTCAGGTTATCCCGGCAGGTGCCGTGAGGAACGAGACAGAAAAGGAAGGGAGGGAAGGCTGAGAGGGAGCGGGTGAGGGAGACGGCTTCGGAACCGCGGGTCCCTGCGCGGCCGCGTTGAGCCAGTTTGGGCCGAGGGAGCCCAAGGAGGCCCAGGTGCGTGGGCTCTGTGGAGTAGAGGCTGGTTGCGCGTCCCGACACCCCTAAGCGCGAACGGGTCCTGAAGCAGCAGGAACCCATCTGCCTCTCCCCGCGACGCTCCCCTGCTCTGCCGAGCCGGCTAATTCACCCCACCCGGGTCTGGAGCCGGCCGGCGGCGGGCAGCTCAGGGCGCGCCCCCTCGGGCGTAGAGGCCGCGTTTCTCCGAGTTCCTCTGGGGGCTTAGGGACGGGACGCAGCGAACGGGGCGCAGGCGTGGAGAAAAACCACAGGTAACAATTTTTTTGTCGTTATTTTTCAACTTAAGTACTTTTATAGGGACTCCCCATCCTTCAGTTTAGCGTGTCCATTCCAAAAAGTTCTGCAGCGGGAGCGGCGTGGGAGTTGGGTGCAGAACCCCGATCCACACCGGCTAAACCACCGCCCCACTTCCGCCTAGCCTCAGGGAGCCTGAGCGCTCCTGCAGGGCGCGCCCACCTTGCCCCCGCCGCTCTGGTCACCGGGCGGGTCCCGCCAGCTGGGCGGCCACAGTCCCCGGAGCCTCCGCCCATGCCCTGCGGGCCCCCGAAGTCCTTCCAGCGAGTTTCATCCCCGCCCGTCTTCCTCGTAACTGGTGTCTGTGGCGAAGGGAGGTACCGCCACCGTCGTCCCGCGCTCGCTAGGGCGGTACGCGCAGGGACGCTCCAGGGCGACCGCGCAGCGAGTGAGCGGACCGCGCGGCATTAGCGCCGGGACTGCAGGCTGGGACGAGTGCCAGGTGCCCGGAATCAGCCCCCTCTTTGTGGTCTTTCTCTCCTCACTCTGCCCCCTTCCCCGATTCTCGGCCTCGAGTGGGCGAGTGGTGGTGGTGAGGTTTGTGGACCTGGAGGAGGACTTGGAAAGACATGGGGTGTCCCGGGCAAGGGAGGCGCACCCTACAGTTACTCCCAGCTAAGCAGTAGGAACTCGGTCTGCAGTGAGGGAGCCTGCGTCGTGGCGCACTTCGCCGGTCGCATCTCCCTGGGGCCTTAGTAGCCAGGCAGGTGCGGGAAGAGGGTGAGGAAGGAACCAGGCGCGCCAAGGCTTCACCGCCAAAGTGCCCTTGCCCTTTCCACCTCGCACAGCCAGATCGATGTCCAGCGAAGTTGATGCCCGTGAGCTAGTGTGTGGGCGCGCGCGAGGTGCCAGGGAAGGACCCCGTTTCGCTGCCTCCCTTCGGGACTTGCAGGGCTGGGCTTCTGTGCTCTTCTCCCGCCCCCGAACTCCCTGCGGCGTGTTGGTGGGGGAGGGAGGGATGTGAGTGCGCGAGTTTGGGCGCCCCTGGCGCCGCCGCCCAGCCCTTCCCGCTTCATCCAAGTTCCGTGTCCCTGCCAGTTTAGGCGGCTGCCCGCTCGCGCAGCGTTCATCCCGGTCACGTTGTGGCGCGCGCAGCCGACTTGGATAAGATTGGGAGCGAAGGGAAACGAAGGGGCCGCGGGCAGCCGCTGGACAATTGACTCCAAGGCTTTATTGTAGCCCCCAGACAAGTTTCTACACAGGGATGGATGTCCCAAAGCTCAGCAAGGGGCCTTTTATCCGGGGACCTCCAGCCCGAAACCTGCAGCTCTGCCTGGGAGTCCCCGCACCTGGGGCCCCAGGCTCAGCCCCGCCCCCAACTCACCCACCCAAAGCCCCCTCCCCCGCTGGTCCCAGCCTCTTGCTCCCTGGGGGCGCCGGGGAGCCATCTCCCCTGGCTGGTCCTGCAGCACAGCCATCCCTCCCGCCCCCACTGCCTCCCCGCCCCATTTATGGTGGTCTCTTCACGGAAACCCAGGGCGCTTTCCCGGTCTCCTTCAGGCGCTGCTCAAAGCCCTGCTGCGGTTCAGAACCGGCTCGTGGCCGCGACCAGTTAGAGGCGGCTCGTCATCAGCAGTGGGGCTCTTGCTCACCCAAAGCGAGTGGGGACACCGCCCCGCCCACCCCTCCCTCTCCCCGAATCGCGAACAGGAAACAGACATAAAAGCAGCGGGCTCCCCTTCTCTGCGAGCGACAGGTGGGTGCCAGGCAACTGAGGCGCGTGCCGCTGGAACCCAGCTGCGCGCAAAGCTCGCGCGGGCGTGAGCAAGCTCTGTGCGCTGCGAGCCGCGCGGAGGCACCGTGCTGATCCGAGGCCATGCCGGCAAGGAGGGCAAGGCCGCAGGAATACCGGGATGTGCGCTCCCCGCGGGGAGGGTGTGCTCCAGCAAGTCAGGCAGGCGCCAGAAGCAGAGCTCGCCCTGGCTGAGGGCGCAGTCTCCGCCCATCCGCGGCGTCAGGCCTCTCACCAAGCTGGGATTCCTTGGGTACCTGCACGTGGGCCTTGAAGGCTCGAAAGCCCAGCCTTCCAAGTCCCGCCGGTGTCCCCCGGGGCCAGTTACTGCCGGCGCGGCCGCGCGCCATGCAGCTGTTGGTCGTAGCGCTCTAGCCAGGTACGCAGCTCTGAGACCTGGTAGCCGTCAGGGCCGCGGCCGCCCTGGTACATGATGGTGCCGCTTTGGATGACATAGAGGCGCTCAAAGTAAGCACCATAGGCTGAGCTGCTGGAGTTGGCCATGGTGTCCAGCACCAGGGCACAGCCGGGCGCACCTTGCTGCAGCACGCGGGCTGCCCTGACCCGGTCCTCCAGGCTGCGGTGCTGCGGAATGACGTAGGGCGAGTCCGTGGTGACCCAGCCATCGGAGGGGTGTGCCTCCTCGATGTAGATGATGAGGAAGTCGACGTCGCGCTGGTACTTGGTGACCAATCGCTGGAAGGCGCTCATGCGCGCCATGAAGGGTGGTCAGGTGCAGCTGCCGAAATTGAGCACTAGCGGCCGAGCGCCCTGCGCGTAGTCGAGGATACGCTGGCTCTGGAAACCGTCGGGCAGGACTACCTCGGAGTTGGGCGCCGGACCACCCTCGTGCGCCTGCTTGAAGAAATCCAACTTCTGGCCGTGCCACACTGCTCGGAGCGACGCCAGGGTGCACAGGCGGTTGTCGTCGGACACGCAGATGGGTGGGTCGTCGGGGCACACCTCCTCGCCGTCGCTGTTGAGCTCCACCTCTGGCTCGGGCTCCTCGCGGCGGCGGCCCAGGACGTGCTTGCGGATGCACAGGAAGTCGAGCAGCCAGAGCATGAAGGCTGTGCCGAGAAAGCGCGGGAAGAGCACGAGGCACGAGGCCGTCTGTGCGCAGAGCCGCAGCGAGTGAAGCAGCAGGGAGCGGAGCATGGTGGCTGCGGGTCCCGAAGCGCCCGGGGACCTGCCACCCTCCCCGACCACCAACCGCGAGGCGGTCTGGCGAGGCATCTGGGTTTCGGCCGGGCGGGAAGCTCGATTTATAGCCTTCGATTGTTGGGAGACTCCGCCTCCGGCCCAGGCCCGCCCCCTTGCAACTTGAGCCCGGAGGGATCACCCAGCGGCGTGGCCAATGCCCTAGGAACCGTGGCTGGGTGGGGGGGTCTGGACAAAGGCTGGCTGGGGACCTGCCGGGCCCCGCAGCAGGCACTCCGGACTGGGGACTCGGCTCCTCCACCGGCGCCCGGGACCTGGAGCGGGACAGGGGGACCAGGCGCCCGCCGCGGCGGTCCTTCGGCCAGCACGAGGAGCAGCGCGCGCCGCCTGGGTCTCCAAGGGCCCGGCCCCAGCCCGCACGCCCCTCTCGCTGCGCACCTGAGTCGAGTTCGCAGGCGGCCGCCGCGCTGCGCCGGAGCTCCGGTTCGCTTCCCGCGCGCCGCCGCCAACGCCGCCCACGTCGCCGCCGCCGCTCGTGCGGGGCCGCTGCCCAGGTGCCGCGGGAGTCCGGCTCCACGGCCGCCGTTCCGGTGGTCCCGGCTCCTGCTCCTCAGAGGACGCGGGCCCGCCAGGAGGCAACTTTGGGTTCCCGCCGCCCTCCTGGCTCGCCCGCGGGCGCTGCTCGACTGCCGGAGCCCGCCCGCCCGCCCGCCTCCCTCGCGCGCGCTCACACTCGCGCCTCGCACACGGCCGCCCCCCGCACCGCCCCGCCACGCACACCGCGCTCCGCGCCCCCCGCCGCTGCCCGTGGTTGTTGTGCGCAGCCCAAGCTCGCGCAGCGCCGGCCGCGCCCGCCCCGTCCCATCGCGTTCCCGCTGGGCACCCGCAGTTCCCGGGTCAGCGGCCGCCGGGGCCCGGCTGGGAGGTGCGGAGGGCAGGGTCCGCGGTCGGGGGAGCGCCCGGCACCGGAACCGGGGAGGACTGGGGCGCAGGCGGCGCTGGCGTTGCGCCCCACGCTGACTCGGGAGAGCCCCGGGCGCTGGGCACTGCGGGCGCGGGGTGGCGGGCGCGGGGCGGCGCCGGCCCCAGGCGGCTCTCCCACTAGGGGTAGCTGTTGCCTGAACGCCGGAGCGCTCCCCTCTTGCTGTTAGCCTCTCCAGGCGCAGCCCCGGCCGCCGGGCGCACCCGTCCCGTTCGTCCCCGGACGTTGCTCTCAGCCCCCGGGAACGTCGAGACTGGAGCGCCCGGACCGAGCCACCTTCGTGGACCCGGAGAGCGGCGGCTCGACTCACCGCGGAGGCGCCCGGACGTGCCCAGTGCGTACTTGCAGCTGAGAACGCGTGCTGAGGAATTTGGGGGTGCGGGGCAACAACCCACGTCCCTGGGGGCCCAGGGCATGCCCGCCGTAGCCGGCGTGGGGACTTGTGGTTGCGTGGCGAAGGGTAGGGGGCTGGTGCTCCGGGGCGGCGGGCCAGGGAGGTGCCCTGAGCCGGGGTCCGTGAGGCAAGGAGCGAGTTGCCTCCGGGGCAAGGCCCGGGCTTGTTTGCGCATGGGCTGCCCCTTGTCTGGAGAGCCGAGCTGCCGTGGGAGCCCCTGCGGTCGCGGGGACTCGTCCTGGGCGGCGGGGCTCCTGCCCGAGTTGGCCACCGCCACCGCTGTCGCACCCGTGTCCCGTGCGCTCCGGCCCCGGGGACCGGCCGCCTAACTTCTCGAGACCGAGGTGGGAGCTCGCAGAGCGCGGGCGAATCGGCCTTGGGCGGCCCAGGAATACGCAGGAGAAGCCGACTGCAGCCTAGGGGTCCGGGGGGGGGGGGGACGTTTGGGAAGGTGGAAGCCCCGCCGTGGGCAGGGTCCTGACCTCCTCCCCTGCCCCGCGGGCCCCAGGGGACTCTGCCCTCTGAGCTCCCCCGACTCAGGGCTCCCGCAGGTCAAGCCACTGAATGTGCAGGGAGGAGGGAGGGGAAGTGTGGGCCCAGTTCTCTCCAGTTGGGGTGGGTTGGGGGTGGTCTGGTGGCTTGAGGGCAGGGGTGCGTGTTCCGGGAACCTCCCACCTAGAGGGAGCCCGCTGTGATGTATCCCACTTTTTTCTGATCCCCTCCTCTGCACCTCACCACCCTGGCCAGGAGTCTTTCAGCGGTCTGGGGGATGCTTGCTGGGGGCGGGGGAGTGGTCTCACTAGTCCGCCCCTGGTCCCAAGCAGGACGCCTGGGAGGCTTCAGCTCAGTCCCTTTGTCAGGGGGAGGAAGGGGAGCCTCTGAGTGGGTAGGCTGAGAGGGGGACCCTCTGAGCAGGGGCTGCTTGGTGAAGTCCACCCTTTCTTCTGCACAGTCTCTCAAGCCTGGTTCTTTGGTTTCTGGGATGTGCCCTTCTAGGGCTTGTAGGGACACGGGAGGAGCCCCAACCCCCTTCCCACATTTCCTCTCAAAAAATGAAAAAGTCACCATGGCTTGGGAGATCACTTCTGTGCCTCCTGGGATCTGGTGGCGTGCGCATGCGGAGTGCTTGGTTTGCACCTGAGAGGATGTACGCGTGTGTGGTATGTGTCTGTGTGTGCATGTGTGTGTGGCACGTTCGGGGCAGATGCAAGGCCGTCCCCTCTGGTCCCCTCTGCAGGCACAGCCCTTCCAGTGGCAGCAGCGATGCACAGGCGTGGCCTTTCTCCTGAGGGCAGTCACCTGCTCTGCCAGCTGTTGTGGTTTCCTGGGTGGCCAGCATTCCGGAATGTCGGGCCAGGTGCACGGGCCGTCTGCTCCCATAGCCTCTTTGGCAGGTGAGGACAGACCCAAGGTCCAGGCTTTGGGACAGGGCACCTGACTTGGTGGTTCTTCCCCCGCCCCATGTCCGTCTGTTAGCCTCTCACCCAGGGCAGTACGCCAGCTTGAGGAGACCTGGCCTTTGCCACACCTGCCTGTACTGTCCAGGCCCCTCCCAGCTGCTGGACTGAGGGCTGGGGGAGATGCAGGCTCCAGTGCCCGTGGAGGCCCTGCTGTGTGCGCGGGGTGCAGCTGGGGCTGCTTGCTGGCCCCCCTTGCCCCCTTCTGCCTGCCCTCTCACAGCTCCAGCAGGGGGCGGACAGGGGAAAGAAAAGGAGGTTGAACTGGGTCCACTTGGTGTCTGGGAGCCACTTGGGGAAGGGCTGGGGGATAGGGAAGGGCGGAACCCTGGCCTTTGGATGGCCTCCCAGCCGCCCCCCCAACCCCCAGGGAGGAGGAGAGGAGGTGTGCTGCCTGCCCTTGAATGGGAGGCTGGAGTGGCCTTGGCTCTGGGTCCCTGATCCCTGCAGGAAGACCTCCTCAGGCCTCAGGGACAGGTGGGCAAGTGGGTGCACCAGGAGGACTGGCAGAGAACTGCAGGTGGGTGTGCTGGGGCACCAAGCCTGGCCTCCACAAGGTTGGTTACGGCCCCTGGTGTCCTGGTGACACTCCAGGAGCTCCTGGGCATTCTCTGCTCTGAGCTTCCCCTCTCCTGACTTGCTCCTCCCCTCTCCTTCCCGTTCCACCTGGTCCAGCCAGGCCCGCCCTGACCCCCCCACCCCCTGCCAAGCCCAGCCTCCCCTGCCCTCCCATGTCCTCCCTGTGGGCACCCCTGCCACCACCCACCAGGCTGTCGTCCTGGTGGTTGAATTTCGCCACCACGTTCCGCTGCTGCTGGCTCTAGCTCCACCTCTCCCAGCCTGGCCCCCGGCGGGTGCTCCGCAGTGACTAACCAGAACCGGCACCGGGGAGGCGCCCAATAAAGTTTGTGAAATGTGTAAATGCGTGCAAGCGTGCACTTACTGAGAACTCCTTGTTTTGGGAGAATTTCCAGCTATCTCGCTCTGTCCTCCAGGAGCAGGGAGCAGGGCAGGGTGTGTCCCAGTGGCTGTGAGCAGTCAATCTCTTCCTGGAGACTCCCCTTGGCTGGGGCCTGTTCTGGCCCCTGTCCTCACCTGGCCACCAGTGCTGGTGAACAGGCTCTGCCTGCGGCAGCCTGGCCCGCTCCCATCTGTGTCTGCACTTCTCCACTGCCCCTCCTGGGGGTGCAGATCCGACCTGGAGGTGTCCCTAGCACAGTAGGCGACGACTTCAGGAGCCGGAGGCAAGAACCCCAGTGATGTGGGTTTGTGAGTGGTTACTGGGCAGCCTGGGGGCAGGGCCAGCAGAGCCTGCTGGGGCCTGAAGGCCTGGACCGGGCAGCAGTGCTTGGCATCTTTTTGGGGGTGGAGGAGGCCAGAGGCTCTTAGCCAAAGAGGAGAGGGCCCAGGCCGTGTGGCTCACCTCGGCCTGGCCCTTCCTCCACCTCGCCTGTGTGGGCAGGGGTGGGAAGCAGCCTCTGGACGCCTTCTCTAAGATGCCCTCCGTGACTGCAGAAGCTTGAGGAGACCAGGGAGGCTTGGCCCACCTGAGGAGGCCCCCCACCCCGGGCTTGTGTTCTGGTTGCGTGTTCTGGTGGCTTCTGTTGCCTGTCTCCTGCCATGGCTCTGGGGCCCCTACTTTTGGGCCAGATCCCACCCCTGCAGTCCAGCCTGAGCTCTGACCTGCTCCTGGCATGGCAGACATGTGACTGAGCATCCCCAGGCTTCCGCAGGGAGGAGCCAAGTTCTTGTCTGAGGCTGCTTGTGGCTGGTTGGGCTCATGGTGGGCACCGTGCTCGTGCCACGGCCTGGCCTGGCCTGGCAGGTGCCCCCCACTGTGGCCGTTCCTCCTTTCTAACTCTGAGTGTGTCTGGGAAAGGGTGGGTCCACCCACCCAGCATTTCAGAGTCTCCAGCTGGCAGGCAGGCCCAATGTCTCGGACATGCCCTGGTCACACTAGCATGCAGAGTAGGATGCTAAGTGTGCAAGTACGTGTGCAGCATGTGTGTGCAAATGTGCTTGTCTCCATGCATGCGTGTATCTCCTTGTTCGTACCCCGCCTTGCTCCAAGGTGGATTTCAGGCTATTACCAGGAAGCTCTGCAAGGAGCTGCAGCTTGCAAGTAAGGAAAGAGACAGGAAGGGCCGGTCTCCCATCTGAGGACACACTGGCTGTTCAGCGAGCGCAGATTTTGCCCCAAATGCGCTGGTGGTAAAATCTGGCAACAGTTCCTAGTGTAGGG